ATATATATATAATGTATCATACTTCCTTTTTAGGGTCATTTGATATGAACTATTATGATGTACTTAATTATTCACTAATATCTTCAAGTCTTGTTAGAAAATGCAAATCACTTTTCCTAACCTCGAATGCACTACTTTTTCTTTTGAAGGCAAGGCTGGCTGACCAAGAAAAATGCAGAATTAAATTTTTTGTTCATGGAAGATCCATACTCAAAACAACTTAAGATTTTAGGGCATTTTTTTCTTTCTTTTTATTTTTTATTTTTTATTTATTTTAATTTTTTTTTTTTAGTTTTTGATCGACAAACATTTCCTTGATAGATTTCATAATGTCATATGCCGCAAAGTTTTTAACAAACAAAACACTCTGATTCTTTTCATTTTCAGACTGTACTAGCATTTTCGATATATCTTCCATCTTCAGACTGTACTAATATTTTCTCACTACATAATATCAGGTGTTTCCCATGTCAGATATATTCATATATAAGAATTTTATGAAGGTGAGATTTCAGATTTATTTTATTTTATTACACTATGCCAACAACTTGATGCGACCTTGGTGTGTGCACAAAAATATGGTTAAATTTCTAGAATTAAAGAGTGCAAAGTGGGCATCAACTTTTACAATTTATAAAAGTCACTAAACACTTATACTATGAAGTATAGTGAGAAGAGATCGGGCATTATGGAATGGAATCTAATTTGAAATTAATGGACGTGAGATTGAAAAAGAGTTTGATTGGTGATTAAACTAAAGTGAAATTAATAACATTCAATTCAAATTAAAGCTAGTGAGATAAGTTTTAAAAGATGGAGGAGAGGTTTTAGGACATAGGAATCACCACTAAACTCATTCACTAAACAACATGCTTTCAACTAATAGGGAAAAACAATATTGTAATCACAATATGGCTAATACAATTTGCAATAATAAGCATGGATTGTCAAATTTAAGCATGAATTATCTACCTAACTACAAGTAAACTAAGGTAAGAACAACCCAACAAGACTAAGTATAATCCATCAAACTAATTGACAAGTGTAGCACATATTAATCAAGAAGATAATACAATTTGCAATAATAAGATATGGACTATCAAAGACAATAATAAATTGTCTACCTAACTACAAGTAAACTAGGGTGCAGAACAACCTATCAAGTCTAAGCCATAACCTATCAAATTAGTTAGCAGATGTATCCAATAAGTTCCATGCATAGCCATTACTAAACACAATTAGTAAAGGTATCTAGTGTAAGGATTAATTCCCAATCAATTACGCATAAGACTACATGTAACCAACATAGAAAATCAATAGGAAGAATTAATAAAGAAACCCGTGGTAGAACCAAGTTTCATTACACAAGATTATAGCATCAATTATAATATATACAAATCTCTAAAAGTTGAAAGACAATAGTTTAGATTACAAGCTTAGGGCCTATCCAATTCCTTAGGAAAAGACTAGCCAATCATTAAAGAGGTGGATGTGTCAAGAAGAGCCCAAGATCAATCCTCATGCCTTGTTTCATCATCTTCTTCTTCTTCTTGGTTGAAACCCTATAGAAAGAATGTGTATGAATTAGAGAGAGAATGTCCCAAAATGTATCTAATCCTAAGTAATCATTTGCCAATGTATCCAACCTTTAGCCAAAAAAGGCTAATACCTTTATATAGATGACTCAAATGCCACCCCAATTGGTTAGACCTCGTACACTAGAACCTCCAAATGATTGCACCATGAGCACCCCTGTAATCGGGCTTGAATTTTGTTTTGCACAGTTTTCGAGGTAGTTCAATCGATCGTAGCATGGTGACTCATAAAGTGGATAAGGACAAAGCTGAGATATTTATGCGGATATGGACAAGGATATTTATGAAGATTAGATTAAAACTTCCAATCGATCATAGGAAGGTTCGATCGATTAAAGAAGATAGAAATTTTATGAGGATAAGGACGAGCTTCGATCTATCATAGCAGTTGGCTAGAATGATCAAAGGTACAATCGATCATGCTGGAAGTTTGATCGATCGTAGAGGAAATTTCTGCATCTTTTGCTTCCATTTTGCTTTATCTTCCCACCAAGACTTTGGTTGACCTTTTCAAGGCTTTAATTCAGCTGAGTTAGCTCATTTCAACCTTAAGCACTTGAAAAGTGGAAAAAACGTAAAATAAGACTAAAACAGAAAAATAAGATAGAATAAAGTCATAATATACTCAAGATCAAGGGTTGAAATGCGCACATTTCAGTGCTTATCAATACCACTTTTCTTTTCCTTAGGTACCACTTTTTGGCCTTCATGTACTATGTTTTCTAAACACTCGTCTAGCTAGCTTGGAGAATAGTTTGTGTTATTTATGTACTAATAGAGTTGTTTATGGATCTAATGTGCACCTTAATTAGCGGTGAAGGGTTTATTAGCATTTTGAATTGCAAAAGTAAATGCATTCCGTGAAGGTACCACTTTTTTTCCGTGAAGGTACCACTTTTTAGCCTTCAGGTACCATGTTTTCTAAATACTCACTTAACTAGCTTATAATATAGTATGCGCTATTTATGGCACTAATGGAGTTGTTTGTAGATATAATGTGCAACCTACTTATTGGTGAAAGGTTTAATAGCATTTTGAATTGAAAAAATAAGTACATTCTGAGAAGGTATCACTTTTTTTCCAAACATGATCCAAATAAATTCACAGTCAGTCTAATCATATTCTAAGTACTTCTATAATAAGTCAAAACAATATAAATTAATACCCCAAATCAGATCAAAGTTCAACACCTTTAAAAATCAACTAAATAGTTAACTTTTTTAAAAAACTATCCCACGGCTAAATGTCAATCCATTTGTTACAAATTAAAATATAGCCGTTAAAGAATATAAATGTGCTTAACCACAGATATCATATCTCACGTGTTTGGGTCTTTACATAATCCTTCAATTTGTTATTTTCATCTAAAAGCAATCTTGAAGCGATAGTTGCACGTAACTTGTCAATATTCACCTGCACATTAAACCAGGTAATTTCTTTTCATGAGTATAGGATTGGGAAATGAACTTCATACGTGAAAACATTGTATGGAAGATTGTTTAGGTATTATTCAATTATAATTGTGAACATAATCAATATACCAAGTCAGGAACATTAAGCGATAAAATCACCTATCGGGCTTTTGAGATAGGTTGGGCACATTGTATAACAAGTTTTGTAGATCTCTTCCGGTAAATATCTCAACTAACATTACCTACAAATGCACAGTCTATAAATGATTAGAGTAAAAAATTCAGTAAAGAGTCTTCAACTTGTATACTTTACCGTCCTAATTTAACAATAAATGAATACTTAATCATAAAAATGACCTCATATGCAATAAGCATTTACCAAATCTTTTGACATATTGTTAAGAGTAGGCTTATCATGTGAACATCACTTCAGTGAATCCAACATATATATACGACTATTGCAGATGTTGAAGACATATAAGGACCAATGTTTCTCATTTACAAGTATTGGAAAGAAAAGCGCATATTTAAAAATATAAAAATTTAATTATTTTTATAATAATATTTTTTTGATAAAAAGATAATAAATGGTTATGTTTCCAAACAATAAATATTACTATATCGAATTGGCGAACTATGTTGTCATTGACCTTCATTATCATTTTATACTCATTCCACACTGCTTGTATTTTGGCTTTCCTATCAACCACTTTTGAAGCTATCTTGGAAAGTTCAATATGAAAAAGCATAATTGATAACCTAATATGTGTGAAACAAACACTCATTATAGATAGAATAATTTGTTAGCCCAATCCAAGGCCGAAAGTAAAATTTATATCCTCTACGCCTTTGTTTTAGTTAGAGCATTTGGCAATAGCCGTCAACCACTTACAATGATCACATTTAAACCATAAATGCGTGCATGTGATTGGTTTGAAAAATCAATGAACTTTAAGTAAACATATCACATTTGATATCCAATTATTGTAAGTGATTGTTCTCATATATCTTCTTATGAGGTAAAAACGATTTATATCCACCAGGATTTCACTATAATTAAACAATAACATATTAAGTGTTTGAGCATAAAAAACAAGTAAATATAGAGCAAATAAATAATTATTTGTATAATTTCTTACTGATGAATTTTGTTCTCGTTCATGGCACATGTGAGGACCATCTTTGTTATTGTAGTAATGGATTGACCTTTATTTTAACCCAAGGTGATTCCACCCAGGCTTTATAACACGTAATAAGGGGATGCTCACTACTTCCTGCACATCACCTTCCTTTTCCACTGTTGTGGAGGTTTTCGCTTCCTCTTCCATTGGTGTGAGGGTTTCTCATTCCACCTTCATGGGATTATGTTTTGCAAAAGATTGCCAACGTGAGTTTGCTTGTCGCGTGGGGGTTTCGTATTGCCAACGTGAGTTTGCTTGTTGCATGGGGGTTTCGTATTCCTCTGCCATTGGTATGAGGATTTCGTCTTCCACCTCCATCGGACGTTGTTGTGTAAACAATTGCGAAGGTGGGTTAGATTGTTGTTTAGATGAACTAGGTTTTGTAGCGAAGCTTTGTGAGGATCTCGACTCCCTATCTTGGCCTACATTGTGCCGTTGCTTCCATTTTTTAAACACTGTAATAATTTCAGATGCCAACTCTTAACAATTTTTAAAAAGTTTTATAAATATATATCCGTTAATATATAAATGTAACTATAGATTTACAAGTAATTGTGAATATACAAATTTAACCGTATATTTAGAACTAATCATAAAAAGCCATGATTGACATGATTACCTTATAATCGTCATCTTCGTATGAGTTGCAAATTTACCTCACCCAACCGAAACCATTATATTTACGTTTCTCTAAATTCAACCAATCGCTAATTAATTTATTGGTCCATCCACATAGGCATGAAATCTTAGCCATTGGTTTTGGGCCATTGACATCCACACGATGTAGGTAGGCAAGCTACAACATATAAGCCATTATGATAATGACATTATAGTTATTTGAAATAAAATGATAGACACATTACAAATATTATATCTTAGAACATACCATGAGAAAGAACAAACATTCATGTATGTATTTCAACTTTCTCTTCCTTCCTTTCTTTTATAAGACGCAATGTCTTTTCTCAACCAATCTAAAACAAATTTCCCCCAATTACACGATTTAACAGCATCCACATCGTCAACCGCCCACAACAACTTTTTGCTTGTCTCATTTTTCGATATGGGTAATAGAAGTGATCCGCATCCCCAACAGGAAGAACGTCCAATTGATGCACTAAGTTTTGCACTTCTATTGCACCGTTCTTTACAAAATTACCATTTTCTAACCAATTCACATTTTCTATAATATAGCTTGGCACATCTTCTCCTCTTCCCAAGGGTAGGTCAAGCACCTCTTCAACGCCACTTGGCGTAACAAGGATTCAACCACCACATTCAAAGGTGAAACAGGATGTTCTAGGATCAAAGTGTTCTACCAACCAAAAGCACAGTTTGCGCTTCAAATTGGTATAGTCAATGTCTAAAAGAGACCTAAACCCAATCTCTTGTACGATCACCTTTTTTACCTCACTTAAATTGCATATCGCTTCCTTGAAGAACACCGGGTATTCAACATCTACAAATAAATTACCAACAAAGACACATTAGATAGAAAAGTTGAAAACATGAAACAAATCACCAATTATGAGTACCTAGTTGAACTTTATAGATTAATTTTTTTTTTTTTTTTTGGAAGATTCTATAAAGGGTTGCAAATGCACTTATGGTGGAGGAATGAGTAAATTTAAATTTCTATACCTAGACATAAATAGTTGGCATCATAAGTGTAAGTTTATGGAGTTCCCATAGCTAGAGTCAATTGTTTTAATTTTTTAATGCATGATATCTAACTACACTACAAGAATTTTGGATATTAGGGACGAATTATTAAGGACGGTTTTAAAAGCCTTCTCAAAATTTATTAATTTACAGGGGGTATGCTTTACAACAAGGAAGGATATGTGTTGCAAATTTCAATTAAATAGAACAAGGAGTACAAAGAATTGTTGATGAAGATTTGGTGGAATGCAAAACAAGCTTTGGTGGTTTTTATATATGTCTCAGGTAGGTGCATGCAAGTTGGAGTAGGTGTCTTGCTAGCATATTGCCACCTACCTTCCACTACTAAAGTCTTCAAAATCACATAACAAGCTTATAATTAACTAATAGTATGGCTCCATTAAGGTGCAAAATTGATGAAACATCACATAACAGACCCTAGGTAATTAGATCGTAGTGCCTACTACCCGGTAAAAATTCCAAAAGAGTGAAGTATGCATGTCAAAGGCATATATATACATCCAATAAGTATATCATTTATTTCAAATTTACTATACAATTACACATAAGAACAGTTCAATTCTTACATGGTTGCTCTAATAAATGACCTTCCCGGGCTAGAGTGCTACATTTTTTTATTTTATTTTTTATAAGTAAAATTATATTAGAAAGCGTTCAAAAAGGAAATGCGTCCCTAGAGCTATACAAGAATCAAGAACAAAAGAAGAAAAGGGAAGACCTATGGAGGCTAAAGTGCTATTTTAAAATCACCATGTTATACTAAGATATAAAAGCAAAACATCAAATAATTCAACTAACCCAGTCATGTTCCTGTTTCTTTAATTTGGCGACATGCATTAGAGTTTCTATTAAATAGCTGCTAACTTAAACACAAAGTTGTATAACTGATCAAGATCAACATATTACATGAGGGGTGGTGAATTATTATTTTTTTATAATGCCCTACTTCGCTATTATTATTATTATTATTTTTGAATAACAAGTGATTACAGTTTATCTCTTATTACTCGCAAAATAAAAAAATCCTCTTCACTAAGGTCGTTCTAAATATTTTTGTTCCGATTTCCTACATTAAACATTCAAAACTCTTAATGGGATACAAATAGCTTGCCAGTAAAGAAAATGATTCCATAGCGATCCCATTTATAAGTATAAAACTAAACTGTTACTCAACAACTTGTGAGGTGGACCATACACACTACTCATACCACTAATTCCATAGTATTACTTTTCAGGAAAAAAAGATCCAAGAAAAAAACTTGAAAGAAAATAAATGAGCACTCAAAACTGTAAACACCCTAGGGCATATGGCTTCCAAGTAAAATACAAGAATATAAACTGTTTAGTCAATGGAATTTATTTTGGTTAATTTAAGTATAAAAGCTTGAGTCTGTAATTTTATTTAACTTTTAGCTAAAAATTTAAAAGTTATTTAGAGTTGGTTACATCTAAATCCTTTTCTTTTTTTCTTTTTCTTTTTTTTTTCCCTAAATGAAGAAAACAAATTATAAATGGAACAGTATAATACAAGGCAAAAAATGAGGGCGTACCCTCACAGCAGACACAAGAACCCTAACAACAGCAATGACCTAGTTAGATCAAAAACTTTAGGTTAACCCAAACATATATTTACCTTCTTTGAAAATTAATTTCAAATATCAACAATTTGCATCTATATAATGTCACAGACCTAGAATACAAGTTGTGAGTTGAAAATTATATATGTAAGGCTGATAAATTGGATTGAATATGCAATCTTGGATTGAATGTGCAAAATAGATGAAAAATCCAAAAGAAAACATATAAACCCATATCAGAATCACAGATTATGCACATAAATTAGATGGAAAATTACCTCAAACCCTAGATTCGGTCTTGAGAGAGAGAGAGTGAAGGAGAGAAAGACAAACCCTAGGTCTAGCTTGATTCAAAACCGAATAGATTCGGTCATCGAGAAACGAAGTAGAGAAGACAAAGGAACGGGGCTGCTGCTTCGCTAGTTAGAGAGATGGAGAACGGGCTGTGCTTCGCTATTACAGAGAGGGAGAGACAGAGGGCGCACGAATGAGGGTTTATTGGCCTTGCTTAAATTGGATGAGTAAATAAAAAGGGCAATAAGGTAAATGTGTTAGAATAGGGAGAAGGGTATTTTAGGTAAAATAATATTTTAAACAGTAAAAGTTCATGTGCCATGTCATCTTTTTAATCAATCTCATTTTCTTGAAAGTACGGGATTTTGACTCAAACACTTGGTAAATATGGAGCCTTAACCCCATTTATATGTAAAAATCCCTTTTATCTACCATGAGAAAGTAACATACCTAAAGTGTTATAAAAATTGGTAGTACTAATCCTTTTTCTTTTGAGCAATTCTGAATTCTGTACCGGCTTCTGCACTCTTCCAATCAATTGGGTCCTTTGAATTGGTTAAAGCTCTACTATTTCTAAATAAAATGGTTGGAAGATAAAAAAGCAAATAAACAAATTAAAACCTTCGTTCTATGGAAAAGATAGCCTACTAAAAGTACTCAAGTTTCTATATGGGTGACCAGTAAGTGACGCAATGTTTAACTTCTTAACAACCGCTTTCCTCCCACTTATTTTCCCAGCATCATGTCCTATTAGGTCACTGAGAAAGCACCCAATATAGAGAAACAAATTGTTTATGGGAAGAAGGGACCATCAAATGCCATTCATACGCCAATGGAAATGTTACAGTATTTCTAAACGAAATGAATTCGATAATTAATTCTGAATAAAGTAAGTGATTGTCCAATTAAGTGAGTGTTATAGCCCAATTTGAACTTCACTTATAAGAACAAGTACTGTGTAAAATGGAGTTCAATTTCAAGTTACATATTCCACTTATCACTTAACAATGAACACTTAAAATTCAAATAAGTATTAAAGAAGTTATCAATTTACAATTAGCATTACAACTTTTACTACTTAAATATTCAGCTCTTAGAAATTCCAGTACTTAATTCTTAGTTTTATCAAACGCCATCTATATATCTCACTAATTCTGCTCTAAGAAAGTCCAATACAACTCTTAGTTTTATCAAATGCCACCTATATCTTATTAACCAAATAACTGACCATTATGGCCTGAGGTCATTGCTTGGTATATTGGTTTGAATCTTTGAGGAATCAAAACCTTTGCGTAATTAAAAGCTCTATGTTTGGGAATAAAGCCCATGCAGTCCTCTATTCACAAGAAACCACCTGATGAGTGTGTGTCACTTGTGAACAATGATTCAATTCATAATTACCAATAATACTACTACATGTGTTGACAAAATAATGACCAGTTCAAATTCATAATATCATTAACATGTCAAATCAACTATATTACATAATAGTTACAATTTAACTAAATCAGAAAGAAAATGAAAAAAGGAAAAGAAGAATTAAACGAGTGGATCACAAGAAACTCAAGTTTAACCCTCCTTTGAGTTGATGATAGAGCCGTCATCGAAATAAACTTGCGAAAGAATAATTAAGGTTAGGATTTTTGAGAGAAGAGAAAACACACACACACACACACAAAAAAAAAAAAAAAAAAAAAAAAAAAAAAAAAAAAAAATGGAAAAAAAAAAATATATATTTGAGTTCATATTCCCTCTAGGAACACTTCCAGAAAATTTTCTATTACTTGTCTGGTTCATGTATACAAGAGGACTGCATTTGCCTGGAGGTAGGCTATGGGGTGATTCAAGGGGCCCTCGAGAAAAAAAAAATCAATTTAACACTACAAAAAATTAGTTTCTTTCCTAATACATCGTATGTATTAAAGACCATCTCATAATAAGAGATTCATTTTAAAAGTAAAATTAAAAATCTTATCAGTTAAGTTAGATAACCAAATGGCATGTTAAATGGTGCCAATGACTATCAAAATAAAATATGATAATATTTCCAATAAATCATGATATAAATTTGTAAAATTATCAAATTAAAATGTAATAACTCATCGGACAAGTAGAATATGGTAAAAAATGACACACTTACAATTTTCCGATTCCACTCATTTCACTGAGATTTTCCCTTCACAGGAAGTAAACCTATATTAAGAGGACATAATTCAAACACTTCAGAAACTTCGGAGAAATGTAGAAACTGGACTTTAATAACAATCAGAAGTTTTTTCATTCTTAAAAACAGAATAATAATAATAATAATAATAATAACAGAAAGCAGAAGAATATGAAACCAACAAACTTGAATCGAGTTCAAAATGATTAAAGAAAGCAATGCACAATCTGAATCGAGTAACATATCAGCAAAGACCTAAAATTTCAATCAAGAATCTACGAAGGAGGAGAAGAATAGGTTGAGTTAGCTACCTGATGATTGAGGAGACATGCCTCTTAGAAGATCAGAATCGCCACCACCCTAACTCTCAGAATCGCCGCAACCCTAACCCTAACAGTGAGACAGTGAAAATGGGTTTACATGATACAATCACATATATATATATATATATATATATATATGTTCAGGTAAAAAATGTTACATTCAGGTAAAAAAACAATAATAATTACGTTACCCGATAAAATTTAAAAGAGACTCTTTCCGTGTATTATTCCTTCCGTAAGTTGCAAAATGTATCATTAGATTCGTACTCTTGTCAATATATATATATATATATATATATATAGATAAAGAATTGACAAATAAAATAATTTTGTTGGCTGAGTAAATAAGTTCCTTAATTTTGCATCTCTTATATTATTTGTTTGTAGGAGTATTTTTAGTGTGATTAATTTTGTATGTCTGTAATCCAAATTTGAATAAGTATTGACAATTATATTTACTTTAAAAATAAAAATTGATTACACTTTTAATAATAGTGTATATATAAATACATATATAAGTTAGGTTCATACTTTCGTGAATTGTTTGGCGCAGGGTTTTGAAATTTCAATTCAAATTTCAAATTTTTCTAGGTAAAAGGGTTGCAATCGAGCCAAGTTCTGAAATGCTCTCGTTCGTCACAATCTAAGGGTATACTCAATAAATAGAAATTTATATTCTATATTTTTATATCAAAAGCACAAAGTGTTTCAAATCATTTACTTAATAATAATATAGTAGTAGGAAAAACTGAAATTCAATAAATAAAAATTTAATTAGAGAATGAAATATATACTATTAAAAATCTTATTTAATAATATAATAGTAGGAGATACTAATAATAATATATAATATTATTTTTAGAATGTTATTTATTTCAATAAATAATATATTTTTATAATATTATTTAATTATACTTTACAATTTTTTATTTTATATTAAGGGGATTGAAAACCAAGAAGTGAGTTATTTATACCAAGCATTCTTCTTATGGCTAGATCTAATCTCTGGTCCTGCAAAAAGGAAAAAGAATTTAACGTTCTTCCTTTCGAAAGGAGTATTAGGGAAATCTTGATTGCAGCTTTCCCCAGACCTTCAGTAAAAACATGAAAAAAAGGGGCTCGAATGAAAGGAGTGATCTCGTAGTTCTTGGTCTATGAAGATGCATTGTTAGATGCTCCATTTTATTTTCCCATGGAGGGCAAACTAAACCGTGCTTGAGAGATAGTTGTCCATACATTGATATACAGACACTTCTATTCACGTATATCGCACATGTGTTTTACTAGTATATATGTGTGTGTGTGTGTGCACACACACGTACACGAGCTTAAAACGAGCATATTCACAAACATGTTTATTTATTTATGTTAGAGTTATGCACACACTTTCGCTCACGTGCATAGCACGTGTGTTTCAGTAGTAGTATACATAAATATATATATATATATATATATATATATATATATATATATATACGCGTGTTCACAAGCTTAAAACGAGCCTATTCACTAACATCTTTATTAACAAATGAGCTGAACTGAATGATGTTTGAGATTGACTCATTTATTAAACGAGTCAAGTAATTTTGTTTCAACTCAGTTTGTGTAATAAATAAACAAACATGAACCGAACGTAAATGGAGCCGAGCTCGAGTAGCTCACGAATTGCTCAATGAGTAGTTGTAGCCTTTAAAATAAATAATAAAATAATTAAAAAGGAAATTGAAAGAAAAATATTAATAAAAAGTGGACATACATACACAGTTGGCAAATATAAGAAATGCCTATTCCGGTTCTGTTACACACTGATTTATCAGTATGCATATAAATTTACATAAGAATCGGCTGATACCTGGCCAAAACGGCTAGTATGGCCTTACCGGTCCGCTCTCTTAGAGAACCGGCCGGTTTGGAAGTAGACAAAAAGATAATAAAAAATAAAAAAAAGGGAGAGAAGTTTAAAAAATATTTTATTTTGTTTTTTTAGTTTTGCCCTTTTAACCATTTTGGGTCAAGGTTGGTTACTGTGAATGCAAAAATAAAAAATTTGCCACTACTTTTCAACGTATTACAATACTAATTTAATATGTCCCTTATTTTATTTTATTACAGTTTGCTAATTAAAGTAGCAGTCTTGATTCGAAGTACCAAGTTTGTCAATTTAGTCAACTCCAGTCAAGATGGGTCATTCTTACATTTGAAGACTTGAAGCACACTTATTACGTGTGACATTTGATCTGTCAATTGGATTAAAGTTCATTCCTAAGCTTTTCAAACTTTAGATTCATTTATATTTAAATTCAAGCACAAGTTGTACCAAAATCAAATTTAAATATAAATTTTTTTTATTCAAAAATAAAATATGATCACTAGTATTTATTCAAATAATAATGGACCGTTTGATCAGTGTATAAGTAGTCCACAAATTCACATAATCCGAAGGCAATCACGTTGAAAAAGGTAAGGGTGTGTTTGTTTATTTGTTTGGCATGGTGTGTTTATACTTTGAAGCAAGATGGCATGACATTACATGTGTGATCTCTTACGATGATGGGAGGTTAATATTACTTTGAAGCAAGATGGCATGATATCACACAAGCACACAATATCTGAACATCTTTACTTCTTGATACACAAAATAGTAATAGATGTGGTCAGTAATTGGATTGGGTATTGTAACATTGTTCATTATATTCATAACTCACTGCTTTTACAAGTGGAACAATCCCAAATGCAATGGAGTTCTGCCTCCAGGTTCCATATGGGCTTCCCTTTTGTTGGAGAGACACTTCAGTTTATAATCCCCAGTCGCTCTATAAACATTAATCCATTCATCAAAACTAGAATTCAAAGGTAATATATTCATATAATCTCTTGCGTGCAATAAAGTTATTCACACCAAGTAGGATGACAGTTGGATACGATTGCTATGGGTTTTTTTTTTTTTAACTAAATCATATTCAGGTCACTGTACTTAGAGTGGAGAAAGTGTCTTTTTATAACTAAATCATTTCTGATATATATATATAATGTATCATACTTCCTTTTTAGATTTCTAGTGGTCATTTGCTTATGAACTACCATGATGTACATAATTGTTCACTAATATCTTCAAGTCTCTTTAGAAAATGTAAATTACTTTTCCTAACCTCGAATGCACTACTTTTTCTTTTGAAGGCAAGGCTAGCTGACCAAGAAAAAAACAGAATTAAAATTTTCGTTCATGGAAGATCCATACTCAAAACAACTTGAGATTTTAGGGTTTTCTTTTCTTTCTTTCTTTCTTTTTTTTTTTTTTTTTCTTTTTCTTTTTATTTTTTAGTTTTTGATTGACAAACGTTTCCTTGTTAGATTTCATAATGTCATATGCCACAAAGTTTTTAACAAACAAAACACTCTACTTCTTTACATACGGACAATGTACCTTTCATTTTTAGACTGTACTAGCATTTTCTATATATCTTCCATCTTCAGACTGTACTAGTATTTTCTCATTACATAATATCATGTGTTTCCCATGTTAGATATATTCATATATAAGAATTTTATGAAGGTGAGATTTCAGATTTTATTTTATTCTATTACACTATGCCAAAAACTTGATGCGACCTTGGTGTGTGCACAAAAATGTGGTTAAATTTCTAGAATTAAAGAGTACAAAGTGGGCATCAACTTTTTTCAATTTATAAAAGTCACTAAACACTTATACTATGAAGTATAGTGAGAAGGGATCGTCCTCGGGAATTATGGGATGGAATCTAATTCAAAATTAATGGACGTGAGATTGAAAAAGAGTTTGATTGGTGATTAAACTAAAGTGAAATTAATAACATTCAATTCAAATTAAAGCTAATGAGATAGGGTTTAAAAGATGGAGGAGAGGTCTTAGGACATAGGAATCACCACTAAACTCATTCACTAAACAACATGCTTTCAACTAATGGGGAAAAACAATATTGTAATCACAATATGGCTAATAGAATTTGCAATAATAAGCATTGATTATCAAATTCAAGTATGAATTGTCTACCTAACTGTAAGTAAACTAAGATGTAGAACAACCCAACAAAACTAAGTATAATCTATCAAACTAATTGACATGTGTAGCACACATTAATCAAGAAAATAATACAATTTGCAATAATAAGATACGGACTATCAAAGGCAATAATAAATTGTCTACCTAACTACAAGTAAATTAGGGTGCAGAACAACCTATCAAGTCTAAGCCATAACCCATCAAATTAGTTGACAAATGTATCCAATAAGTTCCATGCATAGCCATCACTAAACACAATTAGTAAAGGTATCTAGTGTAGGGATTAATTCCCAATCAATTACACATAAGACAACATGCAACCAACATAGAGAATCAATAGGAAGAATTAATAAAGAAACCCTTAGTAGAACCAAGTTTCATTATACAAAACTATAGCATCAATTACAATATATACAAATTGTAATGACCCGGTCATTTTTCTTCCTTTTCTTTTTCTCAGATTTTAACGGATATTTTTTTTTCATTGTCTTTTCCTTTTTGGGTTCGGTTTTTCATCACTTGATGTCGTCTCGAGTGCTCTGGAATGATTTTCGAGACTCTTTTCCTTGGATTGACAACTTCCTTTGGGGATTATGTCATTTCCATATTTTATTTTTCAGAACACTATTCACATTTTGTCTTTTTCTCGTTTATCCTTTTTCTTTGCACAACCTTACTTTTTGTGCTCGGATTTGATTCCGGTTTTGCATGCATTTATGATATTTGATTTCCATGATAGTGGTATTTTTACTTTTCTAGAAAAGCATGTTAATTGCTTACTTCTTTTATAAAGGGGCATTAATGCATACTTTAGTGTAATTATTCTTAACTTGTGGGGTTTTAGTGTAATTAAATAAAGTAATATTTTTCATCTTGGGGATCATTTTGCAATTAAATTTGGAAGATATTTTCAAAAATGACCTTTTTGTAATTTTTGAAAAGTGTGACAAGTGTCACACTCTCATTGGTCCACTTGTTGACATTTGTGTGGAAACACTTTAATGTATTGGATGATGACATTTGGAGGGTGAGGATTCACCCACT